CGGCTCTGGCTCTGGGTCGGAGGGGCCTCTGAAGCCCAGGCTGTCCCGCCCGTGCTGTGGGCGCTCGTCTGGGCCGCGTCCCCGCTCCACCCCCGGCCTGCGCCGCCCTCCTCCCCGCGAAGGGGCGAGCGGGTGCTGAGTGCTCACCCAAAACACCTTCCCGCTTTGTTTTGATCCCTGTGTTTCCCCCGAGGTGGACTATGTCTCGGGAAAGGTCTTCTTCAGCACGGAGGCGGAGCCGCGCGAGCTGAGGAAACTCAAGTCTGGAGAGCGCCTGTTCTTGCTGGTTAAGAAACAGCCTCCGCTTGAGGCTTCTAGAGCTAGAGGTACGGCACTGACCCCGGCCCTCAGAAGGGTGGAGCCCCAGTCCCCTTTATAAAACTGGCATTTCATTTATTTGATTTGCTAACAGATGGAGTTCTAATGGATAACAATGAATTCTGAAGCATCTTTTACCCAGATATGTTTTCAGTGCTTGCTTTTTTTTTTTTATTGCTGAAAATAGTTTTTATAAAGGTGTCTTACCTGCTTGTGTTCTGCTGGTGCTGTAGGTACATGTGTTCAGGTAAGACCTCACCCATCTCCCCCCCCAAAAAAAAATTCTAAACAACAAACCTCCCACCCTGAAACTGAAGGCCAGTTCTGGATCTCCTGTGTGCATTTTATTGATTAATTACTTTATATTTAGGTGAAGTGGGTCTAGACATATATCCTGTGTCACTTAACCATTCAAGGTTAATCTCAGCTACTCGGTTACCAGCACCTTAGGTCACATTCAGTGTTAGAATAAGGATTTCAAATAAGATGGGCAGATACCTCTGTGCTGATGGGATTGCATCTGGGGGATCATAGATGGCCTTGAGCTTTGAGGATCAAATTTAAGCATAATTCTAAATGTTAAAATGAGAAATATCTTTTTCTTTCCCCCCTTGACAAGCTTCAAGTGAATTGGCCTATGTATTTCTTATGCATCTCTTGTAGCTAGCTCAAGAGGACTACCCACGGATCTAAGTTTAGGTGTGCATTGGAAACTTTGCAGGATTGAAGGCGGGTGGATAAATAGCAAGGAGAGGTTTCTCTGATAAAAGAGTAAACTTGTAGCTTCTTAGCTGAACTGAATCAGTGGTTCATGTTCACATCTGTCTTCCAGTCCTGTAAACTGTCCCACGTCTCTCATCCTGGACCAAGTGCTTTCTGGGGAGGATGGCATGATAGGCCTGGGAATGACTGTCAGAGGTGGTCAGTTTCTCTAGAGCTGCAGAATTCAACCCCTGTGTGATTTAATCTTGATTCTGCAGAATTTGTAATCTGGAGTATACCTGGGTCTCTGAGGGTGGTGTATGTGGGTGCTGAGAACTCAGCTGTGCCTGCAATGTCTGCTGCTGTGGTTCCTGGAATCACATTGACATCTGTACATAGTCTCTGTTAACAGCTGTTCTCAGTTTGCAGGAAAAGCAAATGCTGAAACTATTTTTTTTTTTTTATTTTCAGGGAAGATGCTGCATGAGATTAAAAACCTTGTCATTGAGGAACCAAAGTATTGGCTGGATGTTATCTCTGTTTGGAGAAACCTTCATAGGTGGGAGGGCAAAAAAGATGATGTCTCTCAGGAGAACCGATTACCTCTCAAGAGAAAATCAGAAGAGACAAATCCTGCAACTAAAAGGCTGAAAACAGAACAAGTGAGAGAGGCTGTGTCTGAGGAATGCCAGGTGGAAGAAGGAGAGAGGTGTGTGGTACCAGACAGAAAGAGTGATCAGGACTGCTGGACTGAAAGCAGGACTTCTTTAGAAGGCCCTTCCAAAAGCAGTATTGCACAGGAGAAGCTTAGCTTCAGTTTCAGAGTTTCTTGTCGTTGTAGTGGAACAACTGGCAAAATACTCACTTCACAGGTATGCTAAAGTATCTGCTTTAAAAGAATTTGGCAAAAGTGAAAGAAGTTATATAGTTTATTTCACATTTCAGTGGTGTGTTGTATGTCTTAGAGTAACGAAGTGATTGAAGCTTTTTCTGTGTTTTCTCACAAAAGCCCTTAACCTTCATTGACCTTAAAAACAAACAATAAAAAGGAAATACAAAGGCTGTTGTTAATTTCTGGGCACTATTACACTGAATGTTTTTCAACTCAATGCCTTTTATTGAGGATGAGTAAAGGTAAGAGGTTAAGGTAGCTGGCCTTGTGGAGTGTTGAGGAATGATCTGGTAGTAGTTTACAGCTACTTAAACTGTCCTTAGTTGTAAGGACAGTGGAGCCAGACTTCTCTCAGTTGTGGCAGAGAACTTGCAGCTTCAGTGGGCTCTTTGTTGGGCATTGGGGAGAACTTGTTTCCCTTGGAGGGGGGTGCAGCCACTCTGCCCCTCTCTGTGGGCTGGATCTTCATCCCTGGAAGAGAGTGGTGGTGTAGAGTCCACCAGGGGCCCCTTCCATCCAGTACTCATCTATAATATCTTGTTACTTGGAGGAATATAAAAAATCAAGCCCAGTGCAGCTGCAATTTATGTCCATTTCTCTTACTTGAAAATAACAGTTGTTTAACTAGATATTTTTTCTTCTTCCTACTAAAGCTAGTACCTTGGAAAGGTGGGACACGTGAGCCTGCCAACCTGAATGTTTGCTTAAATTTGTGCTGTGGGTTTGAATGCTCGTACTCTGGAGGCAGTCAGCTTTTTAGGTGTCATGAAAGCATTAAAACTGTGAGTTGCAGTTGTGCATTCACAGATTTTTCTCTTGGATAATCTACAGCCATCAGAAATATTTTGGCGGGGTGGGGGGGAGGAAGTACACACAGTTTAGGTAGGTGGATGCCAGGTGCTGAGCAGTTCTTGTACATCACTCACTTTATATACAATTTCAGCAGTATTATTGTTGCTACTTTTGTCTCCTCTTTGTGTTGTTATTAAACTGTCCTTATCTCAGCACATGTGGTTTTACCTATTTCTTCCCATTCTCTTCTCCATCCCACCACGGTGGGGAGTGGGTGTGTGGCCATGGGGTGTTTTATGATTAGCTGGGTCTAAACCACAGCAGTGTGATAGATAATTCTAAAATGATGACAACTTTTGTTGTAACTGGGGCAGGACTTGAACTTCAGCCTCCCCACCCCCGTTGAGTTACAGTCATTTTGTCCTGTGGTGTGTGCTCTGCCCCTCTCTCACTCACTCTGCCCTCTTTTACCTCTTCTGGTCTTTACATGAATTACTTCCCCGGGAGTGAAGAGAGACTCTTCTCCCAGGTATTTCTAAGGGTTGTGCACTCAAGGCTGTATCTGTAATTTCCTTAATTCTGTTGTTTTTTCTTCCCCCTTGCAGGATATTGGTAGAGCTGTTGGCATAGCACTCATGAAGCAGTTTGGGTGGCAGGCTGATCTGCGGGACCCTGATCTAGAGGTAGTGGTACTTGTCTGCCAGATGTCCTGCTGATGCTTCCATTGTTGCCCCTGATATCCTTTGTTTTGTTCTCCACTCCCTTTGCACTCAGGGCCATCCTCCCTGTTTGTCTTTCTGCTGCTGAATTTAATGAGTAATCATCTGGTAGCACTGAGCCATCTTGTAGCCACTATGTGCATGTCTCCCAGAGCACTCTAAATAAATACCAGAATGGCCAGCATGGGCATGTGTGTCAGGGGAAGGATCCGTGCAAGGGAATGTTTTGGATTCTGACATGCTTACAAACTGCTGGGATCTGACTCTGCTGCAAATGGAGGTCACTGGAGCCACTGGGCAGCTAGTTTAGCCCAAGTAGTAAGGTCATGTTCTCATGGAGCTCGACTTGAGAATGCCGTTTATGGAGGAGCCTCCTCCTAGACTCTGCCCCTGACAAGCAGCTTGCTTGACACCCTCCATGGTGTAGGATGTCTGGAGATGTCTGGAAAGGCCTCATTGCTTTTGAGAAGCTGTTTCTCCAGCGCCGTGCTTGGTGTATGGAAGCTGCTCTCAGCACTGGTGCTGGGAGGTCTGAGGTCTTCTGTAGAAGCTCCGAGTTCCTCAGCTGGCTCTGGTGTTTGTAGTTTGTGCATCAAATACATGGAGCCTCAAGTGGGACTCTTGTTCTTGTCCAGACTTTCAAGTGCTGAGGGCTGGGATATTGCAGAAGTATCCTGTTTCTCCTTGGGCTCCCTGGGGAGGGGTTGCAGTCATACAAGACCTGTTGGGGAGCTCAGTCTTCTTTTGGGATGCTTTCTGTGGACAGAAGGAGAATTTCTGTGAGCTGCCTGTATTTCTGGAGGGATTACCCACATTTGCTTTCCATCTGAAGTGCCCCTTAGTGGCACTTGTGTTTCTGTGGTTTAGGTTTTTTGTTTGTTTGTATTTAAAAAAGGAGAGGGTACATGAATAGCTTGAGTGCTGATATAGAGTGAATAATCTTCTCCTGCTTAGTAAATTATTTTATAATTAAAAATATCCATTCTATGTTACAAAAATCAGTTCCCTTAAAGATTCAAGTACTTGCTGATGGATTTCTGACAAAATTCCCCTCCTAGCTTGCTTAAATATTAAATCTTCTTTAAAGTGACATTTGGATTATCTACTGTGATTTCTCCCAATTAATCATTATTTTCTAAAGTGTAAACTTTTGTTCTTAAGAATCAGGATTGGAAGTTTGTAGAAACATCTGCCTCTGGTTTAAGTGAGTTAAAGCTATTGTTGTATCAGGCTGAGAGTTTCTGATTTAATATTTTTCCTCTTTCAGATCTTTGTACATCTTAATGACATGCACTCTGTGGTGGGGATTCCTCTCTTCAGGTAGGCATTCTCCTCACCAGTTTTGTCTCGGCAGTATCAGAACAGGCATAATTTATAAATAGTCTTGCTGTCCACTGTGTGTCTTTATCTTTTGGTTTAACATCCACTGGACTGTAACATTAGCCTTGTGGTCTGTCTGGAGCTGATCTGAGCACACAGGCCAGGCTTTGCAGTGAGTTATGTCTAAAAGCAGACTGTGGTTTCTGTCTGCATGCCTGCAGGCAGGTCTGTCCATTTGTTCTTTAATATTACATGGGCTTTTCAGGGTGGTTGTACTGTTATCTTACACTGATTTTTTTTTAATTTTCTTTCCTTTTGGTTTTTTAATTTGCTGTTTGCAGGCTTCCATTGGCAAACAGAGAGTATATCAAAACAGCAGGACTGCGGTCAACTATTGCGTGGGCCATGGCATCTCTGGCTGAAATCAGGGTAAGTGAATGTGCGTGGCAAAGACTGAGAGTCCTGACTGAAGGAGAGGTTGCTGCTTGTCAGAGCTGGAAGCTCTGAAGAAGCTCTTGTCAGAAGCTGGAAGCTTCTCTAGACAGCCTGATCTAGCGTGAGGTGTCCCTGCTCATGGCAGAGGGGTTGGAACTGGGTGATCCTTGTGGTCCCTTCCAACCCTGACAGATTCTGATCTGTTTTAGCAGAGGACTTTAGAGCCCTAAAGGCTCAATGGTGGGACTTGATGATCTTAAAGGTCTCTTCCAACCTAAAGGATTCTATCATTCTATCATTCTAAGTGGTATGGGGATTTTAATGCCCTGTCCTCTAATGCATGTGGACAGGGTTTGCCTCATCTGTGATCAGAGTGTTACCTGCTGTTCAGCCAGATTTTTGCTGTAATCCCAGTCCTCAGCAGAGGTCTTAGTCCTTGTATGAATATATATGTCTAAATGTCAAGATTTTTTCACTCTTCAAGCTTCAAACGTATTTTGGGGTTGTTCTCCCAAGGGAAAACAGGAGCAAGTGTGATCTTTCCTATGGATTAATTTGGTACCAATATCCATCTGCAGTCCAGCCATAATTAGTTTACCTAAATGTGACTTTGAGGCTAGATGCATTGATGCATTGTCTGTAGAGAAACTATTGATGCTTTTTACTATACTCTTTTACAGGCAAGTTTGGCCTGGTAAACCAGTGGTTGTTGTTACACTGGATTCAGTGGGAGTACATATGTGATCTGTGCATCCATGAGTGAGCTTTGTCCTGGGGAAGGAGTCTGTCTTGCTTGGGGTGCAGTAACCTCTTTATTTTTGTAGGCAGGTGCCTTTGTGCTGGATCCCATGTGTGGACTAGGAACAATACTGCTGGAAGCTGCCAAAGAGTGGCCTGTGAGTATTGCAGTGACAACAGGCAGGGCCTCTGCTACACAGCCTGTAACTGCATCAAGAAAAATCTACACCACAGTTACTCCACAGTCCATTACTGGAAAGCTGGAACCAAACTGCTCTTTCTAGGCAGCTGTTAAAAGTGGTTTAGTGTTTTAGTGGTTCCTCCACAGGAATGTGAAACCAAGTCACATGTACTTGTGCAGGCAGGTGCTGGGAGCCCTGGGTCTGTACTGCAGGGTTTGTGTGAGGCAACCATGGGCATTCAAAACTGCCTGGACTTATCCTAGGTATCAGTGTGATGCTGCTGTCAGTTGTCAGTATTAGAGGCAGCATGTCTCTCTGTAGCTAGGTGGGGATTTGCTGTTAGGACATAGCTTCAATATTTCTGTAAGTTACAAGTGTCTTGAGCAGAGCACAGTGTGAAAGGAGTGAAGATAGCAGACACTTCCCCCATTCTTCTGTCCTCTGGGTCTATGCAATGGTAAGAGATCTCCCAGGAAGAAGTTTTTTGTGGAAGAGCTGTGCAACAAGGCAGTTGTGAGAAAGATTTATAAAATAAATACACCTACTTGTCAACAAAATGACTTTTCTCTTTTTCTCTGAACAGGAAGCCTTTTACTGGGGTGCTGATATAAGTGATTCCCAGCTAGAGGGTGCAGATGTGAATATTAGGACTGCAGGCTTGATGGATAAGATTGAGTTACTTAAAGCTTCTGTGAGAGGTATGTGTGTAGGCTTTACATGTGGGACATGCTTAAAACTGTTTGTGGTTCTGGGATTATACAGGTAGTGTAGGTTCTCTTGGGGTGACGTGTAGTAGAGCTAATCTCAACAAGTAGCTGAGGAGTGACTCTGGTGCTGGTGAATAGATGATTATGTGTTCTCCTCTCCCCACCTCTGGGAACTTTGGCAAGAATAAATCCAGCAGAAGACAAAGAAAATAGTAATTGTGCAATAATTATTTCTTGCCAGAATGGTAAGAAGTATTTCTCTTTTAGAAGAGTATATATGGCTTTTTTTCTTACCTTTTAAACTCTTTTCAGACCCTGGCTTCTAGGATAATGGAAGGTACTGTGATGTTGAACTTTTCTAATACTTAACTAGTGTCAGAAGCTCTTATTTCTGCTTGGGTTGGGAAGGAGTGTAGGTAACTTGTACTTCCATTTGTAATTAAAATTGTAATAAAATTGTTGTGCTGTAAGTGTTGATCCCAGGATGGTCCAAGAACCATCTCCAGCCCGCTCTGGAAAGGTTGACATAGAATCACTGCAGGGTTTAGGTGGAAGGAACCATGGAGGTCTTTAGTCCTGTCATCAACTTGGAGTGGGGCTAATCCAAAAGCTGGGCCAGGTTGCTGAGGGCTCAGTCGAATGTTGAGTACCCAGAGTGAGAGTGAACCCATAGTCTCAGCCTTTGATGTGGCGGCGGGCTCTGGCCAGCACAGCCCGGTGTGTGCCCAGCCTTCAGCACCACCAGGGTGCAGTGCTGCTTCAGCAGCGAGAAAACTGACAGCGCCCAGGATGCAGAACCTCTGGGGAGGTGCTTCAGAGACACTAGCTCTGACAGAACCGAAGGGATTGTGGCTGTAACCACATTCTTGGGGAGAAAAGGGGATGGAGAGAGATTTAACACGTTTCCTGCCTAGCTCTTCATTTTGCTTGTAAAGGCCTACTGTGTTGGAAAGCAGCACTTTCTAACCATGCAGTCCTCTGCCTGGGGAGTCTTGCACTGGGGGCAAACATGCCACCAGTAGCAGGGAACCTGCAAGAGAAACTGTGCTCCCATGCATTTGTCTCTTCCCAGTCTGCATTGGATTGGTGGCTTCATAGTGCTGTTTGTGAGCATAAGTACAGGAGGAGCCCTGAATCCTGGTGCATGGTCTGTGAAGGAGCTGGTGGGTGGTTGTGGAAGGTGAACGGGGGCATGGCTGCTGTTCATTTCTCAGCTAGTTTGAGGTAAGGCCCTGCCTTTATTCTGCAGCATTGCCATGGCCTCCAGAGAGCTTCGACGCTGTGATTTCAGACATTCCCTTTGGGAAGAAGTTCAAGATCACAGAA